AAGCCATAATCAAACCACTAACTGAAGTGATGGAGTGGGCACTACATACATGCACACATGAGAAAAACCACACGGCAACCTTCAGTTGCCAAGGAGACAACCTCTCTCTATCTCTTGTGTGCCTCCTCTCTCATTCATCCATCCTGCCTCCCCTACCTTTGCCCGAGTCACGATACAAATGGGGGATGAATATTTAAGATGCATTAAGTGCTTTATTGATGGCATAAACACACACTCATCTCATTCCCTCTAGTGCACACAACCACATTCTCTGTCTCTGAAATAGTGCCTGTGTTGCTCACACACACAAACATGCACACGGTTCAGACAGTCGTCTTTTTCTTTCTGACAGTTTAATTCCCATTTAACACCAGCAGGTTCTGGTGTCTGGACCAATTAAGCCAGCTGCTTTAACACAGGATTAACGCAGTGTGCATGTACAGTACACTTTGTGATGTGTGTGTGTGTGTAGTGTATCTACATGTATTTTGATTGGTCCCAAGTGTGTACATATGTCTGACTTGGTATGTTCTGTTCATAGCTCAGTGAAATGGCACTTTTAAATCTTTGTGGGTGTATTAACATTCCATCCATTTGGGACTAAACTGCATTTTACCTTTTCACCGACCCTGGTGGGTGGCACAGTGATACAGTGGTTTGCACTGTTGCCTCATTGTTGTGAGTTTCCACAGTGAAGTGGCAACCCTCCATAGACATCTGTAACTCCTCTCCATGAAATATCCATAAGTGGTTCTGTGTATTTAAGGGGTTATCACTGCTCAAAACACATTGATATCAGTATATGTACATATCCCAATTTATAATGTGGCCATTAAAACAGGGATCAAGTTGAACACTAAGTAAATACATTTAACAGAATCAGTAGCTGAAGACCAGGATGTCAAACCCCTGATATATAAGATTTGTATAGGAAGTGTCTGAACTTGGTGACTGGCTGGGATCTTCCCGTGTGGAGTTTGCATGTTCGACTCATGTCTGCGTGGGTTTTCTCCAGGGACCTCTGCATCCTCCCACAGTCTCAAGACGTGCAGATTGGAGTTGGGTTAGTTGCAGACTTTAAATGGACTTCTCTCACACAAAACACTTACAGGATAAGTGGTATAGATAATGGATGAATGGACTGACCCTGGCTCTCATACAGTGCCACTTATTCCGTCAGAAACATAAACTGAAACACTTGAGTTTGTGTTGGAGTGCGGATGTAAATGACAACCATTAACACACTTGATGTACAAGATAAATTCCACTTGACTGAATCCTGTAATTTGTATCATTTTAATTTTCAGAGTGAGATTCTTTTTTATTAACAAGTCTAACTTTGTCTATTGCAAATACTTTATTCTAAATTGAAGTGACCTGTTAGTTTCCTGTGCAACAAGGTGTAATGAACTAATAACAGAGGGTAACTGGATTAGAGATGAGATTTGAACATCCAAAAAAGAAAAAGTCCTGACTGATACAATCACAGAGGAGCCCTGAAACATACAGCATGCCCACTGTTTCAGGCTTCATTTTCTCTTTAATGCTGAAAGAAACATGGTGTTGCAGAGGAATAGTTAATGAAGAGCAAATGCAGCCCCCAGCCAAGGCCTTCAGCCCACATTCATCATGGATTCAATTTCCCCCATGCACGTACAAAGAGTATCTAGAATCATTACAACACAACTAGCAGGCATCCCCTGCTCATAAATAAGCCTGTTAATTGACCTGTCATAGCTAATTGCTGCAGGGGATTGGAGTATGTGTGTGAGTTTAAAAAGCAGTTTGTCTGCATGTGCGTGTGTGACTGTATCTAACAGTGTTTATGCATGTGATTTCAGATGATGCAGATGTGAAGATACATGGAGAGGTATGGTATGTGCTGGATGAACTGTCTTTCCTGAGCGTCTTGATTTTAGAGGCAGCAGTCATTAGCCTTGACACAGGAGGGTGTGAAGCAGGCCAGGGCCTGAATCGACCCGACTGGGCCATCGGTCCCAGCTCTGGGCCAAAGAGAACGATAAACGGAGATAAGAAGAAAAAAAGAAAAAGAAAGAGATTGAGAAACTCACACATGAGGTTTGAGGCATGCAAAACAAAAACATCTATTTTTTGCACTCTCCCTCTGCTGTGTTGCGGGCTTACTGAGGTAGACACACACACACACACACACACACACACACACAAATAGACACACAGTGAGTGAGAAGTGCTGGGAAGATGAGTGAGAGCGAGAGGAAGCATTATGTCCAGTTATAAAGGAGGACTGAGTCATCTAGTTTACTCGACCATGTCCCGGCAGGCGCTGACAGCAAGCGAAGCTGCGAAAAAGCCGATGGGACCTCGATGATGCATCAACAGCCAGAGCTCAAACACAGGACCCCGGACTCTGTTGTGTCTCCCGAACTGTTTTTCCTCCACTATGTACTGAGTGTGTATGCAGTAAACTTAAACGTTAAACTTGTGGTGAACTTAAACAAGGGCAAATTGTTGTACAGCTCAAACTGGGGAAGGCTGCACCCCTTGAGCTTCATTTGAGTTTGAGTTTTAGATATGTGAAAAAACTTACATAAAACCAAGTTATAGTTCAAAGAATTAACATTAATGAGGAAATCATATACCTATGGCAGGCTGGGATTTGACCCTGGTGTAAGCTTCAAAAGATGTAATTGTCCACCTATATTTTTATGGTACATTGGGTCCAATTTTGCACCTGTGTTTTTATATATATATTAATTAAATATACAACATTATTCATGAATCTAACCTGCCCAGCTGGACTAATGGTCTCCCTCTCAACAGATACTGAACTCAAAGTATTATTTGATACAGAGAACAATTTACATTTTTAAACCTGTATACATCTTTTCGTAGAAATAATCCAGACCATTCTTCTCTGTCTCATGTGATGCTGAAATGACACATAACTTCTGAGCTACATATGGATGTATTTACATGGCAATATTATTTTCAATCATAGTCTTCTTGAAGGTTTTGGAGACAGTATTTAGTGTAGATTATGGGTTAGGGTAAGGTACCCAATTAATGTTAGACACATACCTCCACAGAGTGGAAATGTTGAAGAACGCAATAATAAAGAAAGAGGAAAAGAACTTCCTGTAACGATCCCCTGATCTTGATTTTGGTCTGCACCATAATACCACATCCATATATGTTTCGTGGTGATCCCTCCAGCCAACAAACAAATGGACAGAGTGACAACATAACCTCCTTGGTGGTTGGGTGGTCTTGGGGTTGATACTAATCCAGAGTATTAAGTTAGTGCATCTTTAACTACTTGTGTATTTATTTTTCATTCTGAGGTCATGACACTGCGTACATCAGTATGTTTGCAGTCAGGCTCTTTCCAATCTATATGAAACCTTGTTCCTAACCCTGACATCAGCACTTTCATGATGAGGTGAGTAATCCTCCGGTTACCGTGTGGATTGGCTCTGTGCTGACATTCAGCATAAAATGACCTGAGTGTTCACTAAGAGGTTCCTCATTCAACTGCACCTCCCCACAGTGCTCAAATGTCAAAACTGCTGTACGGACATGTCATTTCATAAATTAAAAATTCTCCTCTGTCACTCATACAGAAGCTCATGGTTAATTCATATTTTTTATTGCCTTCATTAGTGCTATTTTTCACACACATTTGTGGGGCTTTATAAACAATTATCAATAAACTATAATGATTCCAGTAGGCAGACACTATGATTAGTTGCAGTAAATGGTCTGTATTTATAGAGATCTTTTCTGTCTTGATGGCCACTCAAAGCCTTTGTCAGGCAGTTTTTCCATTCACTCATTCAATGTGCAGCACTTTCTCAATCACAAATTACTCACACACTGCCAGCATAGCCTTCAGGGGATATTTGGGGTTCAGTATCTTGCCCAAGGACAGTTCAGCAGTTGCAGTGGCCCAGGTGCTACCAGGGACACTAACAGGGCAGGTGCTCGCCAACATAGAGCTTGAGTTGTACACTCTCTTTAGCTAAAAACCTTCATTTTTTAAAAAGGACACCTGAGGATATTTTCTCCTCCACTAAGGAAGAGAAAATAAATGTTTGATATGTGTTAAATCTGACAACACCGTATATGAGCTGGCACTGATTCTAGGACCTCAAATCTCAATACAATGACATCCCCTGGTTCTTTGCAGCTTTAAAAGCCACTGTGGAGAATCCTCTATGAAAAATTCATGCCATCCCAAGCAGAATTTCAATCCCAATTCTTTGTAAAATTCCCTTGATTCCTGATAACCACCCGAGTATAAATTGCCCCATGTTCTTCTATCTGGGCTGAAGTAGTGACCTTCCTAATGGGGAAAGATGCAGTAAAGAGGAAATGGCTGCAGTAAAATAAGTGTGTAAGAGGTGACAGAGATGACAGGAAATAAAAGGAATAAAGTGAATATAAAAGCACGTGATTCTTTTTTTTTTTTCATTTCCAAAAGCAAAACAACACAGACCTGACAATTTTGTCACAACTTCGTGAATATTATCTTTCAAAAATCAAGAGGTTTAGCCCGCTACATGTTCTCTGCTCTCGTAGATGATCAGGTCGTATCTTTTGGTCAAAAAATTCCACTGAATGCTACATTTTCACATACTACTACGAATGTTAGGCCAATCAAGTCTGGAGAATGTCAGGAGTCAGCCTTTAACACAAGTGAATGATATGAAAATATACTTTTTGTTTTAAAGACAAGGAATGGTGCCTGGGTGGAGGATCCAGGAGGCAGCACATGATGCACAAAGTTTGCTGTGGGAGTTCCAGTGTTTTGTTTACAACACATCGAAGATGGAGGATGATGCTACCAGCTCATTTGTAACACCAGCTCTCCTCTTGTCTATTGTTCACATGGATGATTTCTGTGTTCAAAGACAAATATTCTCCTCAATCATTACACTGCTGGTTTAGCTGGACAAGCTTTGCACTGACACTGCTGCATGGTTCATTGTTGGGAAGAAAAGTTACCACCCAACACTTACCTGGAAGGGTCCACTGGGGCTGATGTCAAAGTACGCTTTCTTCCAGTCAGGGCCTTGAGGACCAGACTTGGTCCAAATCACAGAGTCCACAGAGGCAATGCTTCTCACTCTAAGGAGCACGTTCAGAGTCCCTGTGAAAATATACACACACATACAGCTTATTAGAAACGGTCACTTAGCAAAAATAGAAAAAATAGATATGGTAATGGTGCGAGCTGAGCTTATCATTATTAAAAGTTCAAGGAAAAATGTAAACACAGTAACCCCCCAAAAAACTTCCAGCAACAGTCAGAGAGGAGCACACACACACACAAATGATCCAGGCATTACTGTAACTGATGATGATAATTATCATTATAATGTGTACACGTTTAACGATCACAATAAGATTCATGAGCAGGTAATCATGGTTCCACTGATTTTAATTTATTTAAGGAAGTACACTTTTCCGCAGGCAAATGTGTGTATATATACAGTATATATATATATATATATATATATTTATATCCCACTCTGTGTCTCACTCTGTGTTTCATTCTTTCCCACTCTATGTTTCATTCTGTATCCCACTCTGTGTTCTATTCTGTTTCATTCGTTTTTTCCTGTTTTATTTTGAAAGTCTGATCTCCCTCGTGTTTCCGGTCAATTTACTTCCTGCCTTGATTTGTGTCACCTGCTTGTCCTGTCTCACCTGTCTCTAGTTTGTCATCAGTTCAGTTTGTATTTAAGTCAAGTCCTCACTTCTGTCTTTGTTGAGTCATCTGTTTAGTTGTGTTTTGTTTAGTCTCTGCCTGTTTTGTCTCCAGTGTCTCCTGCCTTGTTTTATTTTCATGGACAGTTTGAGAATTGCCTTTTGTTTCTTCCTGGGCCTGCTCCTTGTTTAAGCTATTTGGAATAAATGCTCTCTTTTGAATTGTCTGCTCCTGCCTTGCTCCTACGTTTTGGGTCCACCTTCTCTCTTCACAAACCTTGATAGAGCGGCAGTCACGCAGACATTATGGTGAAGAGTAAATGAAGAGGTTTAAGGAGGAGATGTGTTGATTCAAATGTACTTTGTTTCCTTTAAAACACAGGATACACTCACTGCCATATGATACTGCAAATAAAAAACCTGTAACCTCTGTGGAAACACAAAAAAATCAAGTGTCCCCGACACTGAAAAATAGGCAAGAAAATAACAACATTGGAGCCAAGTGATCCAAATACTCTCCCTCAGTCTCTCTGTCGGGTCTCTAAGGTGTGAGAGTATCATTCGTCTTCTTAACGATTCCCAGCCAGCTCCTAATTGGAACATTAACCAACCACTAGTTTTTTAAACAAATACACAGGCAGGGGGTCACCGTATCTCTGTTATATGTAAATTCTGTGTGTGTGTGTGTGTGTGTGTGTGTACAATAGAAGTTTGCATGTAGCTTATTTATGCACAACAATGTTTATCACTCTGTTGTTTCTCAAACCCTGGAGCAGCAGCCTGACAGGCAGATTGAAAAACGATCACACAGAAAAATAACAGATGGTTGAATATATGTACTACTTTGACTTGCAACAATTTTGTATTTGATTTGGTTGTGTTTTTCTTTTTACAAAATGCTGCACACGTGTAGTAAACCTGATTAAGATGTTATATTCTGTTCATTTGTTTTTAGATTTGTCTTCTTGTATATGCATTGAGGTATCAGGGCCTCATTGCACTGGGCTAATAAATTAAAACACTTTGAACTAGTTTTTTTAATAAATTGAAATGTTCTTATAAATGACCTCGGCAAATGTTTGCAGGTGATTGGTCCTGGTATAAGCGTCAAATATTCTCCAATTGTTTAATCATATATTTGTTATAGTACATTGGGTCCCACAGTGAACCTGTCTATTTGGACTGTAATCAAATAAACAGTCATTTCAAACTATCACATTTTATTCTTGATTCTATCCTGCACTTGTCCTGTTCTCTCTCACCTGGTCAGGCCATTAAAGTTGTCCACAGTAAAGGCACAAAATTGAATGCCTTAATAAATTAAAGGCACTCATTAAGGGTTTTCTTGCCTTCAGATAAACCCAGGCTAGGTGTTTCAGACATACACACAGCTAGAGGCACGGAGCTCATCTAACTCTTAGCGAGAAAGTGAGCATCCATGTTTCCCTAAAATGGAAGGAATATATGCATCTACGGTTTGGCTCATGTTCTGATATTACAGTATAGATGTAATAACCACATTAAAAAATCAGCTGTTCAACATATATTTCAAAGGACATGGGCAACGCTGTTGTAGAATAAAAATATAGGTTGGCTAATACTTCATCTATATCTGACCCTCATGTCTCCTTCCGTGCTCATCACCCATTCTCTCTCTTTCCTTCTCTCTCTATTGCATCCAAGGTTCAAGGGTTTTATTGTCATATGCAACAATTACATTTAGCAGTTGCTGGCAATGTAATGCTTGAATCCCAGGCCCCCCTTTAGACATGCTCTGAAATTACGAAAATAGAATATAAAAAAAGAAATAGATTAAAGAAAATACAAAAGTAGTGCAAATATTGTAAGGTGCAGAGAGATGAATTATGACTGGGAGGAGTTTAAAAGTCTTATGGCCTGGGGGATGAAACTGTCCCTGGGCCTGTTGGTGCAGGCCCGGATCCTGCGGTAACGGCAGCCAGATGGCAGCAGACATAAGCAGTTTATGGTTTGGGTGGTGAGGGTCTTTAATGATCCTGTTGCTCTTCTTCTTACACCACTGGGTGTAGAGGTCCTCCATGGATGGAAGCTCCATCCTGGTATTGCGCTGAGCAGACTTCACCACCTGTTGATGGAGAGGGGGGCTTGTTTAACTCCGTCTCTTCCTGTAGTCCACGATCAGCTCCTTAGTTTTGCTGATTTTGAGATGGAGGTTGTTGTCCTGGCACCAAGATGTCAGGGCTCTGACCTCGTCGCCGGTGATCAGGCCTATGACGGTTGTGTCATCAACAAATTTTATGATGGTGTTGGTGCTGTGGATGACCACACAGTCATGCGTGAACAGGGAGAACAGAAGAGGGCTGAGCACGCAGCCCTGGGGGACGCCGTTGCTGAGAGTCAGGATTGAGGATGTGGTGTTGCCTATCCGTACTGCCTGGGAAAGTTCAGTATCCAATCACAGAGGGCGGTGTTGAGCCCAAGGTCTCCATGCTTGGTGACGAGCTTCAGGGGAGCAATGGTATTGAACGCTGAACTGTAGTCAATGAACAGCATTCTCACATATGTGTCCCTCTGGTCCAGGTGGGCGAGGGCAGTATGAAGGGTGAGGGAGATGGCATCTGCAGTTGACCTATTTGGCCTATAGGCAAACTGCAGTGGGTCCAATGAGTCAGGGAGGGAGGAGGTGATGAAGGATTTGACTAACAGCTCAAAGCTATCCTTAGTAGCAACGCACACACACACAAACACACACTGGGCAGGAGAGGAAGAGGACTCTGATAAGCAGTCTATTGATGGACTGTCAAGCAAATTGTGTTGGTGAGAGTGTCAGAGAGGCCATGGAGAGGGCTACTTGCACAATAAAGAGTGGGGATGACAGCAGTGGTAAAAAGCCACAAACACAGATACGTGCACCTAATCAAGTTAGTTGAAATCATTAGTTTGTCTGTTTCTCCTTAGACAATTAGAAGCTGACACACTGGTTCTCACCTCCCTCTGTCCATCATCTCCCTGTAAATAGGGTTCATGTCCATTGCGTGTCTCTATCACTATGGTTTGCTCAGAGTCAAAGCTTTGCTCTTCTGTGCTCACAAGAAATGCAATTACAGTCTGTGATCTGGCATCTGGGTCCAAAAAACAACAAGCCAAAGCGTGTTATTCAGAATTCTGAGTAAATAACCATTTCAGGAGCATGAGAAAGGAGGACAAATCAAGGCTTAGCTAAATCCTTTTTTAATCAAACCTTACGAGACAACAAGCCGATCATGATGTTTACTTCAAAATGAGAATCTAAACCTGAAAAGCTAAAGGTACAAAGCAGTAGAGTAGAGAGAGAAAGAGACAAGTAGCGTCTATAAAAGGTGTGTGTTATAGGGCTGGACGATATTGCCAAATATTATATTGAGATAAAAATGTTCATATTGGTCGATATCTAAAATTATCGTGATTAATGTCACATTATTATTTCTAAATTTAAAGACTCATTAAATACTGGGGTTTTTTAATATTTCAATTTGAAAAAACGATATCGCTATTATTATTAATATTGTTTTATTGCCCATTAACGCAGCCATCTTTTCACATGGCCACCATTCTTCTTCCACAGATTCTTGACCTTATTTTGAATTAATGATAAGTGTTATCTACAACAACCTTGAACTCTAATTTGTCTTCCATTGCTGTGAATTGAAAATAAACCAGTGATTCCAAGTAAGCCTGCCAGTGGAATGCTTCAAACCTGAGCGAGAACAAAGCTAAAAAAAACTAATTAAATGTTGTTTATTGTTGCTGCCAGCAAACCCCAAAAAGAAGAGTTCTTTATTTGCAATTCTGGCTTGTTAAAAAAAACTAAAAATCCAAAGTAGTCAGAGGGCATCGTGCTTTCTTTCCTTTTTTTGTGAAAACCATGAAGAGATACTTTTACTTGCTTTATATTGACATAAACTTGTGATGCAAAACAGCTAACATAAATTATAGGTAGGCCGGAGAAGTGCAATGATATTTCTAAAAATTGCGTTATGTCAAAGTGCCTAAATGCTTTCAACAGTACTTCAGCATAAAATACTATCTCTTGCATCCTTGCAAATACCTCTGAGCATCACCAGAGTGATGGACTCCCCTGCAGCTCTCTGCTCCAGCCTTTTTTTCTATGCCTCCTCCATACTTAGCTCACTCTTCCCTTTTCTCATCCATTTATCCTACCACCCTCTTTTCCCTCTCTCACTCCTTCCTATTAACCCTCTCTCCTTTTCTGCAGCCCCCCATGCTGCCCTCACTCTTCCTGTCTCTTCTTTGAACAACTGATCCACTTTGTCTTTTCATCATTTAGCCTCTTTTTTGCCATCAAGACACAAACTGCGTATCCCTGGCAGGAGTGAGAGCTTCGCCAGGTAAGGCAATTAAAATGACAACAGATTGGAACAGACTGTCAGAACTACACAGAGTAAATTGGGGGTGGGCTTGCAGCAGTGCTTGGCGTAACTGGCAACAGATTGTGTTAATTTTAAGAAGGCAATGTGAGGCTCAGGTAGCATTGTCTTGTCTCTTTGCTTTGCTGTGAGGCATCGAGACCTTTGTAAAAACTGCACAACAAAAATGCTCAAGTTGTACTATCAGTAACAGCTTAGTTTAGTAATATAATATGTGAAGGAATGTGCAGTGAAAGACGATAGAAGATAAGAATCAAGACTTTTTATAAACTCACTCCATTTATTATTATGTTCTTATTTTGAGGCACTGAGTTAAAAAAATCCCAGCAAAGTAGCCCCAAACTATTGGTTTATCAATAACAGCAGGTTTATAATCAAGTTTTTTTTTGTATTGTTATGGAAACTTCATGGTTGTCTATGGTATTTTGGTAAGAGCCGGAGGATGTAATCTAACAGGCTAAATGTGGATCAGATGACCAAAACTATTTGCTAAGAGCAGCTAAAGCTTATAAATAATAAGATGACAATTCTCACTTCAACATCCATTGCTGAATCTGGCTTTCAAATGTGTGCAAATAGTTTCACAAAATATGGTCACATGAGTGGGATATATTTAACTCGTTGCACTGGATTTAATAAGTGAAGTAAGTGAGAAAAGCAAACTTGTTGTGAACTTTTAAAACCTCTGACCTGATGACTTTCTGTGCTTTATATAGTTACACAACATAATCATTACGTAACAAGAACACACACACTGTGGCTTTCTTTAACATTAAACATCAGCAACAACAGTGGAGGTCAGATGTTAAAGTGACGCCTCTATGGTACGAAAGTGGACACACACATCAACACTGTATAATTGTGAGTTTGTGAGTGTGTCTTCATGCATTTGTAAACGTTTTCTTATGTGTGGGTGAAAATCCACTGTGTGTGTGTGTGTGTGTGCTTTTGAAGGTAAAAGGATTCTGTGTGTTTATACAGCTGTCTTTGTGAGGACCAGTTGTAGCCTTTAACCCACAGAGAGAGGACATTTTTGTCAAAGTGAGGACATTTTGGCTGGTCCTCGCTTTGTGACCCCACTTTAATGGACTGTTTAGGTGTCAAGACTTGGTTTTAGGGTTAGAATTAGGATTAGGTTAAGGGTTAGGCATTTAGTTTGGATGGTTAGGGTAAGGGGCTGGGGAATGTATTATGCCAATGAGTGTCCTCACTAAGATAGCTGTACAAACAAACGTGTGTGTGTGTGTGTGTGTGTGTGTGTGTGTGTGTGTGTGTGTGTGTGTGTGTGTGTGTGTGTGTAGGCTACAAGATGTATGCATTCTAGCTGTGTGACAGACCATATTATGACGAACAGCTCCCCAAATGACTGATTGTGTCTTGCCACGACCATAAATCACACACCCACTGCCCCCTTCAACCACCTCCAAACACACACACACACACACACACTGAGGCACAAGCATAAAACATATGAACAGAACTTTTGCTACACCCCCCTTACCCCTCTCTCTCTAACACACACACACACACACTGCTGCTGTGTTGTGTCTGACAAGACTCTACAAGCGAGGGTCAAGCACAGAGTTCAGATTCTGACAGAAGCCCAGTGATATTAAAACCTGAGCAGTACAGCGTGTCAGTATATTCTCTACTGTATGAATGTGTGCCATTCTGTTTCCATGGACGATTTCATGTGGTAGAAGAGTGTGTGAGTGTGTGTGTGCACGCACTCACCGATATGTTTGCCCTTCATGTGGTAGTAGAAGGACACACAGTATGGTACTCTGCCGGAGCCCTTGGGACCTCTGACTGAGGTCACATTAAAAAGTGGGGACAGCAGACGAGCTTTGTCTCCCTGAACACGCGGCCATGATGCTTCAGTGTACATGTAGTATCCTAAAACCAACAGAACAACACTACTGTCCAGAGTCTCAGGTGTAACACAACACTGAAGTGAAACAGATTTGTCTGTTCATTATTCAAGTATTCACGTTGTGCAGAAAAATGATTTCTCACCCTCCTTGGTTCCGCTGCGGTCAGTCTCGGGGCCAGTGTTGGCAGATCGCTTGGGATTCTGCGTCAGGTGATTCTGTCTCGTCCAGTCAAAGATGTCACTCCGGTCTTGAGAGAAACCACAGATTCGCTCATCTTTGAAACCACATACACGGTCTGGCATGTGTGTGTGTGTGTGTGAAAGAAAGAAAAATAAGAGAGGAAAACATGATCATTGACATGTCAAGCAGGTGACATAACCTACAGGTCTACATCTCCCTGGATAATGAATGGCAACGTTTTAGCTCCAGACAAACCTCTCAACTACACACTTCCAATGTGCAGATCAGACAGCATGGCAGTTATTGACAAAGTAACATTTGCATTGTTGAAAGCAGAGTATGTAATCTTAAAAGTGAAAACTGCATATTATGTATGACCCCTACATGCAGAAAGAGTTGACTATGATTGTATCAAGCTATGTCTAATGTAGAGTGTGTAATTGTTGTGCATCTAAATATTTTGGAGGCCTTTCCCATCTGACTGCCTCAGCTGGATGATTTTGAATATGATGTACAACAAATTTCTGGGGAAGCTGTGATCAAATGTCTTCACTTGACAGATAATCTTCAAGCAAGTTTGGAATTCCTTTTTTACACACACACCTGCACACATATACAAAAAGCATGTTTTAATAACAGCTCATAGTTTTGTCTCAGGACTGCAAGGCACCTTGTTCTGGCTTAACAAGAGACATGATGTTAGGTCCCCTCTCTGTGGTGTTGTCACTTTCATTAGTCCATCTGCAGGGCCCTGCTATTATCAGAGGCTCACTGAGAAATTAAAATTAAGGTAAGCCAGTATAACAATAATGATCTAAAACCATCCAAGCTTCAGTGAAAGCTTCCCCGAAAATACACACAACACACACACACATGCAGTCCGCTGCAGATGCATATGGCTCTTGCTCCCTTGAGGATGGCTTATGTGTGCTTCTTTGTTTCAGGGAGCTAATCTATTGCTATTCACACCCTGCCCCACTACATGCGTTCCTTTCAATTTGCGCTGTTGTTCTCGCAGTCTGTTCCAATCTGCTGTTGTTTTAATTGCCTCACCCTGGCTGAGCCAACTGCCACTCCTGCCAGAAAAATGCTGCTGTGTCTCTTAATGAAGAAAATAGACAAGTTGCAATTGACTGAGACAGAGAGGGATGGAGAGAGATTGGGGGGAGGCAGGGAGGGGGTGCAGGGGTTGGTTCGAGAGGGCGAGATGGAGCTGACAAAGGAGACACATCCAAGGCGAGATTCCACATAGTTTTAATACAGATTAATTCAGAGTTTTAAGCTATTAGCCAGTGGATAATATCTTCAGAGCCTTTTACCAATAACGCATTTACTGTATAACCTTATAAACTTGCATATGCTCCAATCATAGCCACTCTTTCCATGACATTTAAAATGTCATAGACCTGCTTCCAACATTCACTTGCTTTCTCACATCCCACTCTTCCTGCACTCTCCTCCCTAGCAACAGGATTTAATGAAAGGTAAGAATGGGTCACGGCAAACTTTGTCTTGACAAACTTGTGCTGACATCGCTCTCAGCGTACAAGCTAAATTAGCTTTCATCAAACTTTAACATGCCTCCCCAACTTTACCACCCTGACATCAATCAGGGAACAACAACACGCTGAGGGCTGTGAAATGTGGAAGCAGAGGGAGTTAAGTCTCACCTGAGGGCCTCGGGTAGGTGTAGGCTGCAAGACAATTAAAATCATGTCGATTACCACTCAGATACGATTAATCCAATCCAAGTTATACATACTGTGTACCTAATACTCAAGTCTATCTGAAAGATTGTGTTGATATCAACAAAGGTGCTTGATAAAGTGGTTTAAAAAGTGTCTTACGTTCTGAATACTGGATGATTCGACTGATGTAGTCCCCAGTGCTGTAGGTGGTGATGGGGGCCAGTCGGACCTCGTAGGACAGGGGGATTCTCAGGTCTGATATGGTGTGGGACATCAGCACACCCCTCTCTGGCTCCTTATCCTTGAGCTCTATCTGCCACGACAGCAAGTTCTGCTTGTTCCAGATTGGCACAGGTAAAGAAATGCACATAAGCAAGGGGAGGAACATGTTAAGGTGTGTATCTGCAAAAAAACATCAAACTCTAATTTACACCCTGCAGTTCTATGCCTCCACCAACCAGTAAAGTTTTAATCAAATTTTTTCCAGACCCATATGAGATCACCATACGTTTGACCTTAGACCACTGACAACAGTTATCAGTTACAGTTACATCTATGTGGTCAATTGACAACAGGTCAAAATTTGAAGAAATTCCATCAAGAGACATTTCTTTAAGAAGTCAAAAACATGTTTTGTGAGGCTACAGCGACCTTGACCCTTGATCATCCAAATCGAATTAGTTTATCCGAGAATCTAAGACATTTTTGCATTCTTAAGTTAACGCCTTCACTATGAGCAAAAATGGGTTCCTGAGGTCCCAGCAGCCTCGACCTTAGACCTCCAATCACTTAATCCCTGAGCCCCAGTTTGTACCAAATTTGAAGAAATTCCCTCAAAGAGCAACTGCAAACTTGACCTTTGATCACTCAAATCGAATCAATGAATTTGAGTCCAAGTGAACATGTTTCAAACTTGAAAGAATTCCCTTGATGTGTTCCTGATATATCACATTCACAATGTAACAATATTGCTTTGTGAGGTCACAGCAAAATCTAAATGAGTTCATCCCAGAGTCCAACTGAATGTCTGTACCAAATGTAAATAAACTGCCTCAAAGCTTTTTTGAGATATTATGTTCAAAAGAATGGGGCAGACAAACAGAGGGACAAACCAACCTTACAAACCAGCCACTAGTTGGCACCGGTGCAGACATAAATAGTTTTTATCATAACATCCTCACACCATCTGTACCACTTTCATGTTATTACAATTTATTTACCAATCAAGAGCCAAGTTAGTGAGGGTGGGAAACTCATATTCCTATAGTTTAATACAATTATCAATATTTTATATTAACAAGCAAACAAAATCCGACTCAGGGTTAAAGGTCTGCTCATATTTTTCCAGGCAATATTAGAGTCTGCTCAGATGTGATGTGATTATATCAGGCCGTAAGTGTTCCACTGATATTTGCTTTATGTTGTAGGAGTAATAACCATTTATCTTCCTGCAGCCTCTTAATCACCATGTCATTAGGTGGTTTAACTTTTCCATATCTGTGCAAGTGTCCACACATTTCCATTTATGGTAAATGAAATTAGATGTGGGCATGCAGCCAGTTCTGGGCATATAGCCAACCAATACACCTCAGGACCTGGATTGGGTTGTACATATCTTGGATTTTTAAAAGAATCTCTCATCTTTTATCCAAAACAAAGTAAACCAGCTTTCAAAGAAATTATTTACGAAGGCTGTTTCATCTTCTAAGGCGCAAGAGGCCACATTAGTCTGAGTACATAAGTGGTCTTAAATACAAATACAAACACCTTTTTCCTCCTCTCCACCCTACTTATGATAAATCATTGAATTACTTTTCCCAAAGTTTAGTTTTTTATTTGCATTCAGTGTTCCAACATTTACAATCAATAATTCAACATATAACATAATTATCTCTTTTTTTAAGAAATTCAGTTGACCCTCTCAGCAAATATTATCCAAGTACCTTGAGCCCCTTCTCTTCACTGACCAACACCCACTAACATCTGGCTTTTTCTGCAATGCATAAATACAATCAGCATTTACTCTAGGGTCAAATGACTCTGCAGCACAGGTTTTCATCGTTCTTGATCGGCAGTGTAATAAACATGACACCAGGGTGAACGCCCTAATTCTTCCAGACACAGAGAAGAGAGAGCGCCTCAGTTTTTGTTACGTTCATGACGTCGAACATGACGCAACAGGGACGAAAACAAAGAAAGGCAAACTCCTCACCTGGCAATGGGAATGGAGTGTAGCTTTTTTAGAGGGTTTACTCACATTTAAAAACCTGGTGTACCTGCTCTTTTTGGTGAGGTCTATTTATACAGTTTTATTCAAAGGTATTATTGCCCTTCCACACACACAAATATATACAACTCATCACACACACATATATAAACACAGTACTGCATGATTTTGCAGCTCCATTCAATCTACAACCCTACAACTTGTGAAATTTTTCCTCTTTATTATCGTTCTCCGTCATAGTCCTCGTTCTCCGTCATAGACCTCAATTAATATTTCATTCAATTTTCAGGATTGTATAGATTCTCTTTATTTTTTTTATCTTTGCAATAATGATGTTATATATTTCTTATAAACTAATGACAGATGTGCCATAAAGTTGGATTTCCTTACTCAATATTTTGAAAGAAACAAATCTTCCCACAAACAGTCTGAAATAGATTGAGTTGCCATGTAATATTACAGTAAAAAATAGAAGACAGTTATGATGTTAATCCAGTCCACCTGTTGTCTTCTGCTTCCTTTTTTTTTTACGCTGCTCTTAATAGAACTATTGCTGTGTTATTCCGCCCACGGAGAGGAGCATCCATTAGCTGTGTTTCTGCCTCTGATCCCAGATACTTAAAGACCTGACAGTGAGCTCAATCTAATGCATTAGGTCAGCCACTTCACCATAACACCTTAGTACACCCACAGCATGCCATTATCAGGTTATGCATGCAGCAGAGGTGTGTGTGTGTGTGTGTGTGTGTGTGTGTGTGTGTGTGTACTATTGATGTATACTGTGTGTGATGAGTTTATGTAGATGTGTGTCTGATAGATCTCTACGGTACAGAACCGTTACATGGTGAGTAAATCATGTATAATAAGCACATACTATACACACAGACAGATTCTCACTACTTCAGAACAATATAAAGGATTTACTGGACATGTCGTCATTTGTTGATTGATATTACACTGACTATAAGATATTAAAATTAAATACTGATTTATTAAAACATTTTTGGGCTATTTATATTAAAAGAAAGAACTGCTTCCTCTTCTTCTTCATATCCAAACAGTAAAGATAGGCATACACTGTGAGACTCTAAAATTTCACCTCACACTGTGCGAGTAAATAATCTGAGTTGAATTCAGAACTCACATGGTACGATACGGTCCGGTTGTCTGATAGGACCTGACTGCTCAGACTGTACACTGCATCAGCGCCTCTGACATAGTGTGAAGCAGAAGTTAAAGTTAAAGCTAACGAGGGAAAAACATGCCACCTAGCTCATGTGTGTCATTCTGTGTGCAGAAACGTCTAAAAGAAGAGGTGTCCTCATATGGACACGCAAGCTGCTCGGAAGATGTGGGCATTATATATTTTTTTGGCTAAGTGAACTATATTTTAAGCCACCATATTGAAAAATGATCACTATACACTGCTTTCACAATACTCTATTTCCCTCTTTTTCTTTAGTAAACTACATTTTCTTCTACTAATCAACTCGTGAATATGCTTCAACTGTGTCAACAATCCACCGAAATTCTTGACGTGTCAGAAAGTTGTCTGGATGATGAGTGGTCTAGTTTATCTGATTGATCCTTGTTACCTCCCTTTTACACTGTGTGACAGATGACGCAAGGCAAAGCTTAAAATAGGCCTGACTCTAAAATGAGTCACTCGAGAGAAATTGCAACTCAAAATCGTGCTCAAAGTCCACAGTGTGGTAGGTCATGAGCCACTGATGCTTCCCTACACTTCCTTAATAATAGCACCAGCACTGCATGGTGTGACATTGTTACACTGAAACATGTTCTTCTTCCTGTCACCTGACACATGAGTTAAGACGTGCTATTTAGATTCAAACTCTACTATGTTGAGATGGTAATTTCTATTGACAGGGCTCAGGTGACTCCTGCTCAGGCTGCCAAAAAATGTGGTATAACTCCAGTTATTGTGCCAGCACCACACGGCAGCAACAGCCCTGCAAGTTAGTGTTCGGCAACATGGCTGGAATAAAACCTTCCTCTCCCCGTGAGGCACCATGCTGCTAATAGCTGTTAAATCTCCTTTTCTCAGTGCCATGTCTTGCTGTTACTTACTTATTTCAGTCGCTCCCTCCGACTTTTCACCCTGTCTTGTTAGTCATTGAACATCCTTCGTTCTCCTTGTGCAACAGCAGGTATCTTTCAATGCAGACTAAATAATATTTTTCAATAAATAAATTCACCTCCCACTAAATAATGTGCTCTCCTCTGATTCACCTTCCCTAAAACATACTTTTACGATGCTGATGCAAGTGCAAAATTATAAGAAGGCATTAAGGGTCTTTGCAACCTGAATTGTTTTTTTTTTTATGGTGGAGAGATATAGAAAGTTTAGGTTTAGTTACCAAAGCCCTCGCTGCATGTTCTCATTAGTAGCATCCTTACATACTTCCTGAAATAATTGGAGGGAAACAGGAGATTAAAAAAAAGAGGATGTAGAAGCAGGGTGTTGTATAACAGGACACTACCTCTTTTAATGAAAGGGCAGCAAAGTGACCTTTTGGTTTAAGAGACCATCAATTCGAAGAAAGGTCACAGGTTTTGATTTGTCAAACAACAGTGTGTTTTGTTGAGTAGTTCTGTTGTAGTTTTCACAGGTAAATCCTGAAACATTATACCTGCTTACTTCTAAGATATCTGGTAAAAGTGTAAAATTACACACCGCATTTTCACTTTGATTGAAATTACATCTCTGGTCACTATGGACTTGTGGTAATAGATAAAATATTACACATAAGTAACAAGTCATAGTTTTTAATATGTATATATTATCCAACAGTGGAGGAAGTGCAACAGTGTAGAAGTAAAATCTACTAAAATAAAGGTCTAAATCTAAAAGTATAGAATTTTGTGGAGAATCAGATAGCAGATTGTGTGGCAGGGTACGTTGTATTGTATCTTATTAAATGTTATTGTTTTCTTAATGTAAAATGCAGTGGATTAAAAAGCACGATATTTCTCTCTGAAATGTAGTGGGGTAGAGGTGTAAAGTAACACTGATAGACATTACTGCAAAGTACAAGTACCTAAACATTCTACTCAAATACAGTTCTTGAGTAGCTACTTTTCAC